TAAGATCGATCGGGACTAAATTATTATTCTTTTTTCACGCAAAAACACAGAAACCCTTCTCTCGTCTTTTAATCGCTTTTTTCATATTTCTTCCATCGTTTTGAACGTAGAACAAGGATTTAATCTCGGATTTTGCTTTTTATTTTGGATTCAAGCTTGTTTATCGAATTCAACTTTGAGAATTGTCAATCGTAAAGATTTCTTTTATCTTTATCGTTAATTATGAATTCTTGGATAATAGCGGCCTGCAATTGACGCAGCTGCTCCACCATTCTCTCAATTTCTCGATCATGTGGGGGCCCGCCTCCACCATAGCTAGATTCATCCTCCTCTGCATTTTGGCGTGACCCCGCAACAGTGGTCGGCATCGTGGTAGCCCGAGAGAGACTATTTGTGACTTGCTGCACGGCCTGCGCAGCTGCCTCCGCCACCATTTGTTGAATCTTCTGTCTGGTCATCACCACCTGCTGGTCGGGGACTTGCACCGCTGCCTGCAGTGGTGCTCCTCCTTGCCCCGGCCGTTCCTCCTGGTTGCGCTGTCGTTCCTCCTGGTTGTGCTACCGTTCCTCCTGGTTGCGCCACTGCTAGGTTTTGGGGCGCCGGTGGTGGCATTGCCGCTGCAGTCGATGCGCGAGTCTCCTGGACACGATTGGAGCCGGCATCTCCTCCGGGAATTGCTGTCGTCGCTCCCACACCTTGAAGGACAGGTGTAGGAGTGATCGACGTCTGCGATGGGCCAGAAAAACCCGGAGGAGGGCCTTGTCCAAACGGTCTGATCGTCGTCCAAGCATCGTCGAACGTCGACTGCAAGTTTTTGGGGATTTCGTCCGCCAAAGCTGAGCTTCAAACACAACTTCTCAAACGAAAGTTCCCACAGACGGCGCCAAATGGTAACACAAAACTTCCCGACTGGTTGGAACTTGAATAATCGCCTTCCTTCTTGTCGATTGAACGTCGTGCACCTACAAAGAACTCTCACACCGGAGGGGTTTTTCGGTGAAGAGCCTCCGAAGCTTAAGTCAGTGTATATCCAATCAATTCTCAAGAGTAAGTAATAGAATGATTGTGTTGAAGAAGAAAAGCTCACCCCCTCTATATAGGGGTGAGATACCTGACCTACGGCTGCCCAGATTTGATGAGCTTTCTGCCCTAACTTCCCGTCCGTACACACCATACGCGTGTGTCAGAGGTAGCCGTCGCCACTATCGCCTGCACCAATACCCTTTGGACGCGTGTCCTCCTGCACATGGGGTAGGCTGTCAGGGATGGTTATCGCTATCAACCACTGCCTTCTCGACACGTGTCTCCCTGCACATGGGGTAAATATTCTCCTGAAATTCAGTTAGAGGCTCTCTCACGCGCCCGTGACTAGGCCGATCAGTGTAGTGTTAAGTCCTCAAAGTGGTCGACCTGTCGAGGCCGACTGAACTACTCGATCGTTCATCTGGTCGAAGGATAGTTTGGTCGACAGCTTTGCTGGTCGACTGGTTAACTGCTCGATTTCCTTGACTTCCTCATAATACCACTTCCTCGACCGGTCAATAGACTGGTTTAGCCTTGTGGGTATAATATCTTATATCAATATGTACTCCCTCAAGAAACTCAATGCTGAAAATACAGATCAGGGATCTGTTAAGATGAGGGGGAGAATCAATGATTGAAATTTGTAAATGGTATATGCATCACACTGAAAGTGTACAAATAGTAAAATTAATGATACTAATGGTGGTGAATTATATGAAACGATATGATGGCGGAATAATAACGCTGAAACCGTTGGTATTGTGCAAGTTGAAATTCCCCAAATAAGTGATGAAAGGAGGCATATATATACTATTGATGAAATCAGTTGATAATGAGATATCTCAATATATTACGGGGGAATAATGGAAATAAATAAGTGTGGACAAAAACAAATAAATAGCACTATATAAATGACATCGATGAGAATGAAATCAGCTGAAATATGAATATTGGAAACAATTGGCAGTAAGATCATTGAAATCGATTGATGATGAGAATGAGTTTAAGAATGAAAGTTGCACAAAAGCATGATATGACATATTATCATAAAATACCACTAGTACTGAAAAATCTGAATGAATCTATATGATATTCATGAAAATTATGGAAATGTTATTATGGTGAATATATGGAATACGCGTTGTAATCTTTTTTCCTTGGCTGAGGTTTTGTCCCATTGGGTTTCCCAGCAAGGTTTTTAATGAAGCAACAGGGATTGCGTATTCACATGAATAGTGTACTCTTTTTCCTTCATTAGGATTTTGTCCCACTGGATTTTTCCTAATAAGGTTTTAACGAGGCATATTCATGGTATAATGAGGACTACTGGATAATTGATATGATTCCTCATGATGATGAGAAAAGACTGGAGTAGTTGTACTCTTTTTCCTTCGACCAAGTTTTTCCCACTGGGTTTTCTTGACAAAGTTTTAACGAGGCAGCATGTGGATACTCCACTAAAGATGATCTATTTGAGGGGGAGCAATGACGTTCTATCACAATGCTTAGGTTTTGTCCCACCGGGTTTTTCTAAGGAAATAATGTTATGATTTCACGATGATCAGACTTTGTCCCACCGGGTTTTCTTGACATGCTGAAGCAACAGTACCCGATGGCCACAAGATATACTTAAAGATGTGCATATTGGGCTTTGTTCAAATAATGATTCAAATATGTTTAGAAAATAGTCATTCAAGGGGAGTGTGATAAATATATATGGTCCACCACCATTAATTTTATGTACTTGAATGACTATTTTGCCCCCAATGTAATTATTATTATTACGGTTGTGCCATCAGAAGTTTCCTATAAATAGGAGTTTCAGTTATAATAAAAATCGTACCTAAAAAAAACATTTTCTCTATTATCCCTCTTTCTCTCTAGTTTTATAACAGTGTCAACATTTTGATTTATTGGACTTTTTGGTAAACAGCCTTTTCTTACCAACTTATTACTCGAATTGATAGCAGTTTCAACATTTTGATTTATTAGACTTTTTGGTAAACAGCCTTTTCTTACCAACTTATAACTAGAATTAACTAGCCTTTGTTATTTCATACAAATCAATATTTATGGACTGAGCTGGCAGCATTTATCTGGTTTTCATTTATTTCTTTATGTCATTTAAGAAATGACTCTCATTACTATTTATTTATTTATAATCTGTGCAACTTTTTTTTTTTTAATTTCAAAGATCGATTAATATTTATTACTATTTATATTAACTCACTTATATTTTGATCTATACTCTCTTTAATTTTTTCATTCATTATGATACATAAAATTATATTCATGTCATAATATTTGCAATAAAAAATTAATTACATATATATGTGTATTACTTTATAAATATTTTCATAACAATAATTTTCAAGCTAATGATATCAAATATATTTTTCTAAGTCAATCAACTATTTTTACCAAACTTAATTCTGCAAACCACTAATAGTAACTGTTAGTCAAAACAACTAACACAAACTTGCTACAAACCATAGATTCACACACAAAAACACATATTCACAAACATAGATACACACACACACACACACACTCAAGCAAGCACATACAAACAATCGCACAAATTCATATTCACGAACATACATAGCCCTAAGCTCAGAACCCGAACCAATTGAACTCGACTAGATCTGTTGCATGTGTCTTTCCATATCTCTTACGTTTCTCTTTTCGCATTAGGGACTTCCCTCAATGTATGCGCAAATTTGTGTGTGGATCGATGTGTGTGAATTTATTATAATTCATCCCCATCAAATGAGTAGACGAACTCAGCAGACGAACCAAAGAAAAAAAGAAACCACCAATTTGAATGAACCAAGCACGCTGCCTAAACAACCACTTCAATGAACTTCAAAAACTGAAAAAAATCAAGATACAAAATAAATGTTGCACAACAGCAGCAAAGTCATCTGTCTAATTTCCCTACAACCAACCTCTTACTCGGGAAAAACTAATGAGGAGTATCTTAAAGCCCCCTAACGATATTCAAGCCATTTCGGACATTACAAGATGAATTAGGTTCACCAAGCTCCCCACCCAAATCACAGTAGAATCAAGTGTTATCCTCCAAAACTACAAATACAAGCTGGAATTTGTAAATATTTTCCAAGGGGTTATGACAAAAAATAAGACTTTTTCCGCTTATACCAAACCTCAGGACCTTTTTTTTTTGGGTAAGTTTGATCATTATGGCACTGTACATAGCAGACCATGCCCCGGGCTGTGTTCCAGTGGATACATAGTTGTACCTTTAACATATTTGTGATGCTCTGTGGCAGCTTTCCTTGTGCCCAATGAAAGTCCAGATTTCCCCTTCATTTGTTTTGCAACAATAGAACAAGAAGCTAACAGGTCGGTAGATCCAGCTCCCACTCTCCTACACAACAGATAAACAGAAAGTAACAACAGATGACAGACAAATTATATCAAATATATTTACTAAATTGCTTTAACTAAATTTGTTAAATTTGTGGTCATCAATATCTTGAGCTTGTATATGATTATTATTGTTGTTATTATGAATCTTTTTTATTTTATTTTTTTTCACAATTCTTATTATGAGATATTATGGATTTGAGCTCTATTTAATTTGGAGTCTCGTGTCACTGACCATCCAATTTTGATTGCTTGCCAATACCAAAGGTTGGAATCTGTTTAGTTTGTACGATAGAGAGAACATCAAAGAACAGACAACAAATCAATAAATTGAAATTAGTAGAAGAAATCAGCCGATGAATTTCTACCTCAACAATTTCTCTGATGCAACTCGGGCAGCAGTAATCAAGCTGTGGCTAGGTACCCACTTGACCACCCGGTTTGGATCCGCCCGCATTGGAGAATGAATCTTGATAAGCTTATGGAGCACAAGATAAAAATTTATGATGGTACCACGAGCCAAAAAATGTTATTGGTTGTACTTAAGTATTTGGTTTGAGAAAGTAACTAGGACCTAATTAATGGATTCAAATAACAATATTGTTAAGTGGATTATAAGAAATAATAACAAATATCTCCGTGGATGTCTCTGTTTTACGAAGTGCATTGATATAGATAGGACGACATTGTAGACAATACAAAACTCAAGGGGTATTTCTAGTTGTAAAGATAACTGTTTTCATATTTAAAAAGGAGAAATATAAGAAACCTAAAGGACAGTTGGATTTATAACTAAAAACAAAAGATGTCAGACTTACTCCGAGACATTCCATCATTTGATAGTACGCCCTACCCTGCAGAGGGGTGTGACCTTGCCGGGACTCTGAAAAATATCTGGTCCTGAATCATTTTTCAGTCTAAATTTAGTAAAAACTAAAAAGGCAGTACAACCAAAGGAGTAATATACTTTTTGTAACGTCTCCCAGTTACCTACCATTCTTTATAACCAGGATCCACAGTAAATCCATACATGTCTACAGTATCACACATCGAGAGCGCGAATTCAAGAGCCTTCAGCCCTGTTCCTTTTGCAGCTGACCCAAAGGATGCACCAAGCATGAGATACACAGGATTGAGAATTGGAATTTCCTAATAGGTCAAAAGTCCAAAAAAGAAAAAAAAAAAAATTGGCATATGAGCTACAGAAAAGCATACAACCAAACTAACTAGCTGATGTCCATGTCCAAATTGTACAATAATGGAAGAAACCTAGCATGGCTTGTAGTGAACTAATGAGGAATAATTGAAGGACCCACTGAGGTTAGTTTTATTTCAGGAACAGGAAGAAGGGAAAATGAAAAAAAAAAAAAAAAGAGTAGTTCTCTTTCGAATTTTCAAATAACCCTTTACATATGCTTCTGTTTCAGAATCAAACCTATTGATAGGGTAATTCAAATACACATGCATTTGTAATTTTAGAAAGATGTGCTGATTGTGTTGTACATAAGCTAAACCTCAATCGTTTAACAAACTTGTGCAAGCAACAAGACAAATAATATACCCGGATCATCTTGTTCATGATATCATGTATAGTTGTTTTGACTATCAATACCTCCTTCCCCTTATCTGTAACACTTGCAAATGTCAGCACGTATTGACATGAGAAGAAGATCTCAAGATACACGAAATGTGTTAATACCATACAACTCAGCCACTTTATCAAGGGCTTTAGCAGATCCTCTGTTGAGTAGGCGGAATGTACTTTTGGTACCTACATGTTCTGTGAAGTTCTGTATAAAAGAAAAAATAAAGATTGAAGAGAATGAGAAAATGCAAATAGATTTCACTAGAGTTATACCAAAAAGAAAGTAATCCAGGACATTGACCTGTATAGGTGCTCCATTCTCCCTTACAACTACATCATAACTATCTATTTCCTTGCCAAATTTGGTTTTCAGGAGGTCTCCTGAGTTACCAATAACAGCACATCGACCAAACTGTCTTGGCGTGTAAGGTGGTCTGTCGGGAAGAACAAGAGATAGTTTCTCCATACACAATGTTCGATTTTCACATTTATTCCTGATGAGCAAAGAAATTCAAGTTCACATAACATAGGCTATAAAATAAGTTATGGACACATATCTGCTTGTGTATTGAAGCAGTTCTTCTTGGTGATCTATTTATACATAAAATTGGAACTTAGAATTTCTGCATGCCCTCCTTCACTAATCTTTTCAGGAAGCACCTAACAATTTATGGCTCAATAATGCTTTAAAATGAAGCGATAAATAAGCTAGATGCTTAACATTAATCGAGAAAAGGAAACTTTGAAACTTAAATGTGCATCTGTGAGTGAGAGTGTGTGTGTGTGTGTGTGTGAGAG